GGCTCCTTCGCCCGTCGGGCTGAGAGCAAGCTCAAACCTGCCCGGATGAGGCATGTCGGCCGGGGGACTAGCGAAGCCGAGCAGGTCCTCGTCCACGCGGTGGGTAGGTGCAGCAGACGTGTTGGCCTGGCCAATGTCGCCCTCGTCAATGGAGCGTCGGAGCTCTGCCTCGCGCATCATCTCGGCGGACGTGACCCGCATGGGCACTGCAACTGGCACGTCGACAAGATCGTCCCAAACGCAGACCTTGGCGCGCCGGGTGAGTTCCAAAGGACCGTGATCCGGTGTCTTGAGCGTCTCTACCACGTTCCATGCCTGGCCCTTCATGACTGCGATCTGCCGAGCAAACATCTTTTCCTGAAAGTCGGGATCCAGTTGGAACACTTTTCGCAACGCCAATTGTGTCTGACTCCACCAGTGCGTTGAGGTCAGGAGGGGGAGGAAGTGATCTCGCGTCTTCTGCGAGAACGGCCGTCCAATCAGATCGACGGGAAGGAACAGCCAGCCAAAGGGGAAGCTGGATGATATGGGCGGTTAGCATTCCTTTTCGCGCGCAACGCTATTCATGTGGAACAAATTGAAGGGAAATTTTGGACCATCAAAGTGACACGTACCTTCGCCATGCATCGGGATGTTTCCAGGGCCAGGAGAGGGAGTTGTCGATAGCACCAATCGTGATCTTAGGATCTTGTGCGCTTGGATTGGGACTGGATGCCTTCATCGGCTGCTGCGTCCTGTACGGGTATGAGGAGCGGCTTTCTGCTGCTGGTCGCTGGTTCAAATCTACCGGGCGAGGTCCGCTCTCTTCCGACGAAGCGGTTTCTGTGTTCATTTGAAGCGGCTCTGACACGATCGACACTTGCTGTGTGCTCCAGTCCACTTTGATCATCCAGTTATCCAGGCCGCGGTCAGTGTTACGCATCATGTAATCCAGAATAACCAGTTTCTCGAGCTCCTCACGGAATGACTGCTTCAAGCCTTCGGTCCACACAAAATTGTCGGGACCTGGGGGTAGCCGTTCCCGGCTGCCTTCATCGTCGCTCTCAATGTCATCCAAGGCTGCCGCACTGCTCGGCCGGCAATTGTCTGCCCACCTTCTCCTACGCTTGCGATGTGGATCGTTGGTTCTGAAGCCGGACCAGTACTGGTCAGGCCATGGGTGTTCTCTGAGGAACACATTGGCGTCTTTGAAACCTTTCAGGAAGACCTGAAAGCTCCCGGGTTTTTCTGGAAATGGCTTTTGCTTTCTGTAGAAACTGCGACGGTCCCAGAACGGATAGTGGAAGGATTTTGAAGATAACCAGACGACATCCGTGTAAGGCACCATATGGGTGCGCAGTTGGCAATCTAACGTGTATGCCGCCGCTTCGCTGACGTATGAAAGGTTGGGGATCAGACTGCGATACGATTAGCCATGGAGCTTTCGGAGTTGCTGTACAGTATCATACCATGCTCGCCCGAAGCAACAAGGAAACAAGTTCCGATGGATCCATTTGTTCCACTTGGGATTGCCAGCCGCGTACGGCTCCTCGTCCTTAGGCTTGAAGACACCCACGACTTTGCCCTCCGTATTCCGGGCAAAGTAGCTGCCGGAGCTTCCCTGTGCGATCATTCGAGGATGCGTGCCCTGAAGAATAGCCTGCCTGACACTGCCCACGATCTGTTCGAACTGCGACTTGGACATGACATCTTGCGGCGCCGCCAGGCCTTCAGGAGTAATGGGTCGGACGCCCTCGGGAGCTTGGAACACTGAATGATGGATCTCTAAATGCTCATCATCTCCCGTCTTGCCGCGCCCCTTTGTGCGCTTGAACCGGCTAGCGATCTCATCGGCCCATCGTTCTAATCGAGCATTGATAGCCTTTATGTCTACACCAGAGTTGCTGCCGCCGCGACGGCGATTCTTAGGTCTGGAAGGGCCGGCTATCGCTGGTTTGGGGGTGGTCATGCCCGAACGGGGCCGCGGTTGCGTGATGGGTGCGAAGCGAGGGGCCGAGGCCGGCTGGAGGGAGGCATATGACTGGGTGAGAGGGTCGTCGTCTTCGGAGTCGGAGGAGAGGGCATCGGCTTGAGCGAGGCGCTCGTAGCCCGTCGTGGGGGGTCGAGAGCGAGGCATCGTGGCTTTGGGGGCGCCAGGGATGAGGGAGCGTCTCGGCGAGGAAAGGGCGAGGTAATTATCGAGCAAAGGCAGGGCCGGAAGTCAGAGCCATGTGGATTGGCTTGCAGGACTTTGGATGAAAGCTCGCGATCGAGAAGGCTTGTACGCTGGTTGATCGGCTGTATCTCCGTTTGAATGCGATAATCGTGCTAGCGAAGAGAATGCGGAATCCTTGGCCTAAGGATGGATGGAGGAAGCCACGAAGTCAAACCCTCAGCAGGGAGAAAACAGGGGGAAAAAAGGATAACACTGTAGAAACAAATGTGGCTTCAAGGAGACAACAGGCAGCAAGTTGGCGATGAAAGCAAAAGAGGGAAGTAGAATGGTAGGGCTGTAGTGGTGCTCGTGGTGGTGGTGGTGGTAGGCACAGAGCAATTTGTCGGCGAGTCGCGTCGTCGAGCATGTGTCGTTAGGAACCCGTGGTTTCGGCGGATCGCGATGCTGTCATTGGGGTGCAACCGGCGCTGCTGTCACCCTGGTACCTTTTCGCAGGTACCTTACCTTGATGCTCCAAAAGCTTGCTTAAAGTTCTAGAGCGCCTGAGGTGCACCGAGGCCGCCAGTTCTAGACGTTCATAGCGGTTTAGCACTGGGCAGTCGGCCCCTTGCCTCCGCGCTTCCCCGTGCTAGTGCTTGGGCCGGTGATTGGGGTACACGGAACGGACGCAGTGTTTACCCGATTCAAGTACATAGTAGACTTAGGTAATATGGACGTCAAGTAAAGAGTACCTTCAAGGCAACTTCGCCAACTTCGCTTGGAAGGTACGGATACTATCCTCTCTTTTGATTAGCAGAGATAACTGACCAGGTATCGAACAACCAGAAAGCTGCAAGGTACTTCGAGGAAGGAAATTCTCATGTCTTCTAGATCACCTCTTCTTTTACTGCTGTCAGCAAATGTGTGCCGTTCCAGGTCAGCTGATACCAGGCCGGACACTTGTCAAACGTTTACCAAAGCCAATGAGATGGGTAGACCCAAGTCTGAGAGCGGCGGTGCCAGCGTTTGCCTAGGTATCATTCTGAAGTGAGACACAGGCGGCCAGGCCACTTTTGGACTTCTTCACATCGAACTTGTGGCAATAAGCCTAAGAAGAATGAACGCTCGTCGATATGGTCTCTCTGGAAGGTGAGAGATATTCAACCAGCTCGCACGATGTGGTTGACAAAGGAGATACTCCCAAACTCCGTTGTTGCCCAGCTTTGCTAGCCTGCATATCTCGATCGGGCCAGCTGTGGATGGCATTTTGATCAACAGTGTCAAATACCCATCTTCGTTCTACTAGGCATTAACGGCTTTGCATGCAACCAGACATGCCGCGGAAGATGGACAGAAGCCGTCGACTGCACACCCACAAGGACTGTCGGCCTTTCCTAGTCAAGTGGCCAAGCTACTGGTAGTCTTGCTCCTCTGTCGAATGAGATGCCACGGCTGTCACCCCAGAATCCCCCAAACTCTCGGGTCACAGCCATGGACCCCACCCACACTGCACGTCGTTGTCCTCCTCCTCCCCCTCGTCGAGTGCTCCCCTCCATGAATTGGTTCGATTCATCACCCGACCTTTCGATTCTGACTTGATCGTCCCGGGTCAAGGTTCCGTTTGCATTGCGTAGGTAGCATTGTACGACCGGACCAATCCAGTCCCAACGCCTTTCTTGATCCCCCGCGTCTTGTAAGTTTCTAATGGTGACTGATCAAACCTGGGTAGTCCCCCCTTGCAGAGTGACAGATCCTCGTCACCGTTTGCTTGCGGGTTTGAACGATTGAAGCGCGCCGTCTAACCCGAATAATCTTCATACGTCAAGCCTCCCGGTGTGTTGCGAGATCCCGATCAGGTCAAATCATCAGCTACGACGCCCGGCGCACATCTTTTGATCACCTCGTGATTTGCTCTCCTCTACTGGCCTAGTTACTTACCTTACACGGAAGTAGGAATTCTTTATCAAGTCTTGAGCCCGCTCCACCCTTTTGCCTCCCCAATTTCTTCCTACACAGCAGCTCAGGTTACATTCCCACATGTGACTTCTTGCATCAAATCATCTGCGCCAACATCCATCATCATATCTTTGTGTCAAATTTCCGATTAAAGGATATGGCCTCCCAATTCGAAACGATTGCCAAACTTCGTTCGGTAACGTCGAGCCCCTTCCCTCCCGAATCAGATGCTTTCCGCGGCCGCAAAAGGCACCGCAGCCTCACGAGATGTGACCTAGAAGCCAGGCACTACAGCGGAACGGGCGAGTCCAGCACGCTCCGGGGTCGACCCCGTCGTCGATCCACCTCGCCGACGCCGGTATCATCCAGAGCGTCTTCGCGAGCCGGAGCCGGAGCCGGAGCCGGCCGCGGCGGCGGCATGACGAGTACGACGGACGTGTCTCCGATGAGGAAGCGTCTCCTCCGCGTCGTGCTGCTGGAGCGCCGACGAAGCCAGAGCCCCTCTCGGTCTAGGTCGCCTGACCGCAAGCAGGCCCCACCCCGACGCCGACACAGGACTCGGAGCCGGAGCCGAACGCATCATACCAAGGACATGTTCCAGCCGAAGGATCAGCTGCCTCGGCTTTTACTTGGAGAGCAGGCACATAAGAAGGTGGATACATCGGTTCAAGCCTGATTGTCAGCTGATCTAGGCAGCACGCGAACATGAAAGGAAAGCCCGAAATGGTCTAAACAAGGACGAGAGGAAGGAAACAAGATATCTACAACGCCAATCATGCAACCGCTCACATGGGATTATGCGGTGTGCTACCAAGTCATATCCTTGGTATGCTGGCTCTAGTCGTTTAGTCGTTCGGAGTTTTTGAGCACGCCGATGAGACTTTGCCACGAAGAAAATGTCTCGGACACCTCAGATCAACGCAAGACAACCATCGAGGCATCCAGGGCCACGGCGAAAATCAGCCCGGTTGGGTGGGTTGAAAGAAAGGGTGTGGAAGTCCAGTATCTTATGGGCCATTGTCCGGCTGGTAGTGGGGTGAGAGCGGTCTAAATTGGCTTGTACTGAACCTAAGGTGGTGGGCAATGCTTGGAACCAGTGAGTAGGGAGTACACGTGTAAGAGACCTCAGGTCAAAGATGGGCCGGGATGTGTTATTTTGGGGCGCACTCGAGGCAACACTGCCGAAAGATCCAGAGATTGAGAGTTGAGTAATAGCCAGTTTCTCAGACTGAGAGAGGAGGCGGTGACGCTTATGGCTCAGGTGGTGTTGATGAATACGAAGAAGAGTGTCAAATGTATTATTCCCACCGGTAGATTCGGGTGACACTATAGGAAGGCGGGCGGGCAGGTTTGGTAAACAGGATATGCCTGATTAGGAACATCCATGATGATGCTAAGGTAGGTAAGGTACAGACAAATGACAAGAAAGAAAGAAAAAAAAAGTTGTTTGGTCAAGTGATCATCCACCCTTTCACAGGCTGCCTCTGGGGAACCACCCGGACGCCCTGTCGAGGTGTACCTAAGACCTACACAGTAAGTGGTGTATGTAAGAGAGGGTAGGTGAGGTACCTGGTGGTGGAAAAGGCTTGGGCCGAGATGGGAGAGAGTGGGCGTTCAGATGGTAAAGGGTGGCCACGTGAGGATGCGAACTTTCCAGGTAGCTAATCGGAAATCGGGAATCAACGGGTCTCCACTGCAGCTGCCCCGCTGCAAGAGGCGGAGGGAACTCAGGGAGTGACCTCAGCTGCAAGAAGGCTGCAGCCAACTGCTGCACCACATTCCATGTGCCGCGCCTACCTTCACTTTTTTTTCTACCTCCACGACCACCACAACTAACTCACTACTCACTACTACCAGTCTACCACCACCTTACCGCGACTTGGGTTCCTTTTCGATTTTCCCCCCTCCTCCTCCTCCTCCTTCAGCCTGCACTTCATCCATAGCCCGGGAAGTTGTATTGGTTCTTTTCACTTGAACTGCTTTCTTCATTCCGCCTTGCGCCGCCCCTCCTGCAAAGAACTTCTTCAACCGCCACGAAATCTGATGAGGAGGCAAGAACAATGATATGGAACAAACGACACTTGTGAATAGGCGTCGGACTTGACTCGACCTTTGGCCTCCTTCTTCCCCCGACTTCTCGCGCCATCCACCTTCTCCGCCTGGGCTCTCTTGTGTGTTTCTGGTCTCCGGCTGAGCCTGCCCAAAGTACGAAGTACCTTACCTCACTTCAAGTGGACTCGACTCACTCGACGACTTACTGTTACGGAAGTGACTCCTCTAATATCACCCTCTCATCATCCCCCCGGACCAACTCATCTCAAACGCCATATAGCCTTGCGCCTTCTTCTCCTCGCCTCTCTCTCACCATCTGCATCGTCGCTGCCTTCAATCTATGCCCTTGCGCGACACTCGTTATTTTGGAGCATTACTGCTGCTGCCACTTCTTTCACATAATTCCTGCATTTGGGGTCGACTTATCTACAATACCACTGTTCATTGTCACGTCAATATCAAACAACGACTCCACATCTCGCTCTCGTTTGTGATGATCGCAACCACCCTTCTCAGACTGCTCTACTGAAGCCCGCCCGCCGTGTGCAAGCTACAGCACCTTCCTCACGACAGCAGCAACAACAACAACAACAACAAGAACATACTAGACGCCGGGCAGTATCGAGAGACGCAGCCATGGCATCGCCAAACGGGCCAAATGGTGAGTGAGCCCCGCCATGGACAGCCCTCCTACCCCTCCAAGCCCTAGGTCGACTGCTCTTTCCCTCTGCCACAACAACAACGACAACAACAACAACCTCCTTCTGCCCATTATTTTGTGATTTCCAAATACTTACAACCTCTCCCACAAAAAGGCCGAGCAAATTACATCAACGCCCAGCCTCAAGCGCAGTCGTGGAATGCGCAAGCGTTACTGAACCCTCGATCCTACGCCGTGTCAAACGCTGCCTCGAGGCGCAATTCACCCAAACCTCAGCACTTGTCGAACCGATCTACTCCGGGAAATCAAAATACCACAAACAACCCTGTTGTCTTCCAGTTCGCGAGTCCCAACGACACGACAAGCGAGTCTCTGACATCCAGCATCACCTCGGGCGCTTCAACTCCCGTTCATGACGGCGGCATTTCTCCGTACGGAATGGCCAACATGATCGAGAGAATGAACGACGTCCAAGATCGCGCTGCGGCGCCCCTGCCAAAGCGGCGAAAGGTTGATACCCCCGACCCCGAGTCCGACGCCGACAACAAGAAGAAGATGGGACCTGCCGGTAGCGGAATGCTCGGCGCGTATGTGAAGGAAAAGCAAGACGAAGGCAAGAAGGAGAATTCCAAGGTTTCTACCCAGACTGTGGACTTGACTGAGGGGGGCGATGATGTGGTCATGGTGGAGGACCCCGCAACCGAGGAGGTCTGCTACGGCATGCTCACCGGCTTCCTCGACTGCCACAAGGTACCTTCCGCCAAAACGGGCACGCAGAGCATCTTTGGAGCCGACTTCATGCCACCAGTTAAGATCGTTTTGAAGCGAATCATCGGGGATTCGACCAAGAAGATCCAGGCCTACGACTACACGCGCGACATCATCGGAAATGTGGATGCCAATACCGCCAATGCTCTCGTTCCTCTGTTGGACTCCAACGTGCGCCTCCGAACGGACTGCAAGATTCCTGCGCGTAGAAAGCAAGCGGATGAGCACCCGGGCCAGGCGATCTCGAGATCCTACCCTGTGGAAATGACACTGTACGGCCAGTACAGGTTTGTCAAGGCTGTCGGCAAGCACTTTGATAGATTCAAGATTGTTCTACGACATCCCAATAGAGTTGACAAAGGTGTCAGGTATGAGAATGTTCATACCGATAACAAGCCTAACCCAGCACCTGGTGCCAGAAACCTGGCCGGAGCTCTCGCTCAGTACAACAATCATTCCTCGTCTACCTACTACACCAACCCCACTCCACGCACTGTCGAAGAGATCAGATCGGACGTGATGGGCGTCTTCGACTCGATGGGAAAGACCGATGAGCTTCCTGAAATGGACCCAGCTCCTATCGTCACCACAGAGTTACTGAAGCATCAGAAGCAAGGCCTCTACTTCATGACTGCGAGAGAAAAGGAGTCCACGGCCGAAGAACGAGTGAAGGGATCCATGTGGCAGCTCAAAATCGGGCCCACTGGACAGAAGTTCTACTACAACGTCATCACCGGCCACCAAGAGCGAACTCTTCCCGCAGACACCCATGGCGGATTGCTAGCCGACATGATGGGCTTGGGAAAGACCCTCAGCATCCTCTCGCTCATTGGCAGCTCGTTGGACCAGGCCAAGGAATGGGCAGGTCGCACACCAGTCCAGCCCGAGATGCCACCCCAGAAAGCTGGGGGGAAGGCAACAGCTTCGAGCTCTCTGCCTCTGACGGGCATCGCAATGAATGCCAAGGCTACATTGCTCGTGTGTCCCCTGAGTACGGTCACGAACTGGGAAGAGCAGATCAAGCAGCACATCGCGCCGGGAGAGTTAAGCTACTATATCTATCATGGTTCGAATAGAATCAAGGATGTCGAGAAATTGGCCGAGTTTGACTTGGTCATCACCACCTACGGCTCTGTCTCTAGTGAGCTAGGCGCTCGCTCCAAGCGAAAGTCTGGCAAGTATCCCCTTGAGGAGATTGGTTGGTTCCGAATCGTGCTGGACGAGGCGCACATGATTCGCGAAGTCGCGACTCTGCAGTTCAAGGCCATTGTTCGTCTTCAGGCCGCCCGCCGTTGGGCTGTGACTGGTACGCCCGTCCAGAATCGACTCGAGGACTTGGCCGCTCTCCTTCAGTTTGTCCGGCTGAAGCCATTCGATGACCGCAACAAGTTCAACCGGTTCATCGTGGACCCCTTCAAGGCCTGTGACACAGAGATTGTTCCGAAACTCCGCGTGCTGGTTGACAGTGTCACACTCCGCCGGTTGAAGGACAAGATCAACCTTCCGCCCCGAAGCGACCACATTGTCAAGCTCGACTTCACAGAAGAGGAGCGCGAGGTTTACAATCTCTTCGAGAAGAACGCTCAAGACCGCGTCAAGGTGCTTTCTGGCAACGGCGTACAGAAGGCATTGGGTGGTCACACCTACATCCACATTCTTCGATCCATTCTCCGGCTTCGACTCCTTTGTGCCCACGGCAAGGATCTCCTGAATCAGGAAGATCTAGAGGCTTTGCAGGGCATGACTGCTGACATGGCTATTGACCTTGACAGCGACGATGAGGACAAGAAGCCCGGCCTTTCTGATCGTAAAGCATACGAGATGTTTGAGCTCATGCAGGAGACGAACACGGATGCTTGCAGCGCCTGTTCGAAGAAGATAGGAACCAACGACGACGCTAGCATCGAGTCCGAGGGACAGGAGGACATTCTCGGTTACATGACGCCTTGCTTCCACATCATCTGCGGTTCCTGCATTAAGGGTGTTAAGGAACAGACTAGACGACTGCTCCCTCCCGGCCAGGCTATGGGACCTTGCCCCATCTGTTCCACCGTGATCAAGCCTGCCTACGTGGACATTCGTCGATCTCGAGTCAAGGTGGAGCACGAAGGTCCTGCGAAGGAGAAGACCGCAACGAACGGCCGCAAGAGCTTTGGAAAATACACGGGCCCGCACACAAAGACGAGGGCGCTGGTTGAGGATCTGCTCAAGTCAAAGGCTGACACCGATGCGAACCCCGATGAGCCGCCGTACAAGTCGGTGGTGTTCTCCACGTGGACCTCCCACCTTGACTTGATTCAAATGGCTCTTGACAATGTCGGTGTGAAGTACGTCAGGCTGGATGGCAGTATGACGCGTATCGCCCGAACCCAGGCGATGGACAGCTTCCGGGAGGACCACTCAGTCCACGTGATCTTGGTGTCGATCACTGCCGGTGGTCTCGGTCTGAACCTGACAGCGGGTAGCAACGTCTATGTTATGGAGCCTCAGTACAACCCTGCTGCGGAGGCTCAGGCCATTGACCGTGTTCACCGTCTCGGGCAGAAGCGACCGGTTCGAACAGTTCGCTACATCATGAGAAACAGTTTCGAGGAAAAGATGCTCGAACTGCAGGAGAAGAAGAATAAGCTGGCGAGTCTCAGCATGGACAGAAAGGAGAGGGTCTTTGACAAGAGCGAAGCGGCCCGGCAGAGACTGCTGGATCTGCGAAGTCTTTTCAAATGAGCCTGATCAAATCGGCGGTGTGGCTTTTTCGGCTTGCGCAAGCATATTATCGTGGCGTTTGGGAGTATAGGGAGGCAGGAATCCAGCAATGGGGTGGGGCGAAGCCAAGGCTTCAACGGTTTTCGTTTTTCTTTCTTTCCAACGGCCGCCTACGAATGAGCTCACGACAAATCTTATTCGGTGGCTGTGATTTCGGTGTCAGGATGGGGAGGGCAATCTCACCTCTCACGCGTTTAACGGCGTGACAATGCGATCGATACCATTGCTTCAAGGTCTTCTATTCGATGATGAGAGCAACGGAGACGAAGTCATTTGAGAAGGGGTTGGGTCAGTACGGGAGGCAAGCTTCGAATCGTTCTTCCATGATTTGGTCATGGTTATGTCAATGTGTGTCAGACTAGAATTGCATTAGACGTACGTAGGCGTCTTGCTCTTGCGAAAGGCAACGTCCTTCGGATAGTCGAGGATAAATGAATGGTACAACTTTGCAACAGAAACCCCGTAGCATTGATAGGGCAGGATATCTCCTGGACTTGGGTACTTTCACATGCGATTACTCGAGGACCCTAGGTGTACATATATGGTTGTCTGTTGACCCTCAAAGAAAGCTAGCTGTTGAGCAGCCATGCAAGTCATACAGAGTTACTACGTTAGGTGTATCCAGGAAGATCAAAAGGGGGGGGGGGGGGGAATCCCTGTTCTGAGCATGTCATTGTTGAATAGCTCCCTCTCCCCCATCCCGAGGTAAACATCCAATCAAGCTATAGCGAGTACCTGGAATAAATCTTATCATCACCTAGTTCGTTTCGCCTCATCCTTGGAGTTTGGGTCAGTGGGCATTCTCGGTAGCGGAATGGTCCGCATGAAGTGATCGAGTCTTTATTATGTGGAGTGTTTGTGACATTTTTTCGTGGTATCTCCCCGAGCTCAAGGAATTTTTTTTTTGTTGAGGGTGCGAGTAGGTAGGTAAGGTTGTATGCGGTACTGGCTTGTGTCACTTTTTTGCCGTTCCGCGGGGGGGGGGGGGGGCGGCTAGTACATACGCCTGGGCTCGAAGCCCGTGTGAGACAACGAATGATGGGAAATGATAATAAGGGGGGGGAAAGGAGAAGCATTGAGCCCGCCTGCGGCCGACGGCCGTTCGTCCGGGTCTCCGCCCCAACCTGGGAAGATCTGTTAGGTAGGCTGTTTGTTGACTTTTTGCTCATCTTTAAGCGCCAGCCCACCTTACCTTACCGCCCGTGTGGGGGGGGGGGGGGATCTCCAGAAGGGCAAGACGGGCTCGGTAGATGTTTGGAAGCGTACAAATTAGAGAACGAACAAGGGGGGGAGGGAGAAAAAGCATGTGATTGCGGCTTCTGGGCTGTATCGTGTATGAAAGCGATGCATGTACCTGGCTTACCTGATGGTATCAACCAGTGTATATGGGAGAATACTGATGAGCTTCTTCCAACGTGGCACGGTGAGTCGAGATGTGATTAGGATGAGTTAAGCCTTGAGCAACCATGGCCGCGTCATGGACAACTCTCTTATTCTCGGCTGGTTGATCTGAGTCGACAGCAGTCAGCTTTGTAGAGGTATTGCTCGAGCCCAAATCAAAATGTCAAGTTGATCATAGATGTTGGCAAGTACAAGATTATTTGAAGTGAAGGTTGTTATTGTCATTCTCGCCCTTTTGATGGGCTTTGCTTTTTCTAGTCTAAACAGTTTCTCATTACTGTTGTAGTGAACGCCCTGTTGCAATGCCCAACCCCGCAAACGCCTAAAAATGTCCCATAAGTGTGAGGTTGGCAATTGCTCTCACCTTCAGCCGAAGGTGAAGTGTCAAAGGCGTGTCACCCTAAAACGGCTTGGACATGCCGTGATGACGATGGTTTCAACAGAGCCAACCCTATGGCCAGCTCGTGTCCACCAATCTGTTAAAGTGAAAGTCAAGCGCTCCCACATCACCCGCCTCGATTTGTTTGTTTTGAACAAGCCTCCCAAAGTCATTAAACTGCCCTATCCATCATATCGTTCATGCAGCGTCGGCGCTGGCAACGGGGACAGCAACACGAGTGAGCTGATCCCCCGCACGAACGATGCGCTCGCCACTTGAGTCAGTGACGGTGGTCATGTCCTTGTTCTCGTACTGGGCACGCTTCCAGATCTCAACCTCGCAACCACCACGGAGAACACCAACACGCATGGTAGAGAGCAGGTTGTGAGCGGCGTTCGAGTGGAGGTAGACACCACCGTTGAAGATGGCAGTGGCGTCCTTGCCGAGGGCGGAAGAAATGAGAGCCTTGCCACCGGGGTGCTCCTGGATGAAGTCGGTCACGTCGTGAATGACACCAGCAATGGCAACGAGACCTCTACCGTTCTTTGCCTGTGCCTTGAAGTCGTCCCAGTCGATGACAGGCAGCTGCTCCAAGGGGACACCCCAATCGAGCTTCGCGCGCTTCTGGTCAAGCTTCTTCTGCAGCTGCTGGACACGGCCCTTCTCGATCTCATTCTGACGGAATTGCTTGAGGTCGGTAGCGAGGCCGAGCTGCTTCCAGGTCCAAATGCACCACTTAGTGGGGTCGTACTGCCACCACTGGATGGCGTTGCGGTAGTCGGACGGGAACTCGTGGTGGAAGTTGTGGTATCCCTCACCAAGGGTGACGAGGGCAGTGATGACGTGATCACGAGGTGAGTTGCGATCATCGAAGGGCTGGTCACCGAGCCAGTGAGCCAGGGAGTTGACGCAGAAGGTAGCCTGCTGAACAACGAAGATGCGAAGAATTCCACCGTAGACGTAGCCGCCGAGCCAGTCGCCCCACCCAAGGCCGCAGAAGAGTGTGGGGAAGATGACACCCATAGCGAGGACGCACTTGATGAAGTGAACGTGCTGCCACATGACGACGGGGTCCTCGTTGAGATCGGAGATGTCGGTACGGCCCATACGCTTGGGGTCCTGCTTCATGACCATCCAGCCGATGTGGCTGTACAGAAGGCCCTTGCGAACGGAGTACGGGTCCTTGTCGGTATCGGTGTATCGGTGGTGAGCACGGTGTCCGTGAGACCACCATCGGATGGAACCCTCAACGGCACCGGCGCCGACAGCGGCGAGGTAGATTCTGAGAGGAAGACTGGCCTTGTAGGAACGGTGAGCCCACAGACGGTGGTAGCCAGCGGTGATACCGAGACCGGTGTTGAAGTAGTAGACAACGGCGAAGACGGCGGTCTTCCATGTAAGAGGAATCCAGTAGGAGCAGATGAATCCAATCAAGGGGACAATCAGGATGAAGGTCGTGTTGAGCCAGTTGACATGCTTGTACCAGTTGCTCGCGGTGATTGGCTGGGTTGAACTATTCTGAATGTTAGTTGCCATATCATCTTTGTTTTGTTGGGGAAGCTGCCAACGTACATGTGAGGCTTCTTGATATCGTAGGCCCTGGCACGGGTAGGAACGTAGTCGGAAGTTCCATCGGGGAAGTTCTCGGCCTTGGTGACCTTTGCGTCGGAAGATGAAGTCGTCGCCGACATCTTGAAGACCGAAGCCAGTAGGCTGCAAATGTGAATCAGAGGTTGTGGTCGGAAAACGAATAATCCGAGGTGTCTGTTAGGAGACAACTCCAACGTGCTTGGTGAAGAAGCAACGTTTGCAATCAGACTTGCTGATTAGAAGTCCAAGTGGGCAGTGGACTCTCGAGGGAAGAAGAGGTCTGGAAGAGAAATAGTAAAGTGGAAGGGGTGGGTGAAGAGTTGTGAATTATATAAAGAGAAAAGGATAGGTTGAAAAGGCCCCAGTAAGGAGGGAGCAGGTACGGAGGCCGGGGTACCTTTGGGCGAGGTGTCCGCCACCCACCAGGTTCGAAATCCCAGCAAACGAGAGAGTGGAAAGGGTGGGATGGTGGTGGGGAGGGGGGTCAGTGAATCAGATCAGTTAGTTTAGACCCGGGTCAAGTCACAATCAGCCGAAAAAATGCAAAGACAGATGGGTTTCGTGGGCCGTGGGGTTAGACTTGACTATTTTTTCGTCTTTGCTGGCACGCCGGACCGCTGGCTGGATGGGAGGAAAGGGCGGGACCCTCTCGATCTGGGCCCGGGATTCGCAGGCGGGAAAATGGGCAGATGGGAAGGGGGAAGAAGAAGCTTCCTCGCGAGACCCGCTAACAGGATTCGTTGTCCCGTCTCCTTCCCAAGATGTACCGGACGACGCGTGTATCCGAGTGGCAGGAACACTGAAGGCTCTAATCAGTGCTTCGTACCTTCCATTCTCTTCCGACACCTTGCAGAGAAGGCACCAGACTACGCTTCACGACGAGGCAAAGAAAGCAGGTTGGCAGGGCAGGAACAAGAGAAATGTACTTTTCCCCAGTGCCTCCTTCCTGCCACAAGTCAGAAGGTGAAAGGTACTTCGCTTCCAAGCTGGGGATGGGCAAAGACCATGTCCCCCTTGCAGATGTACCAATGAGTGTGTGTTGTGCAAACTGACCAGAACAGGAAGTGACCTTCTCCTTGCCTTACATCTATCACAGTAAATAGCCATGCATAAGCAGGTATTTTCCCTGGCTTTGGGTAGTAGCTACACACAATGATTACCAAATCGGCATACGAACCACCCAGTCACACTTACTCTGCGAGTCTGCAAGTTGTAAGCGACAAACGATCGGTGTGCGTTATGACTACCTTGTGATTCATAGACCTCGAGACTTGGATACTCGAATTCTCACAATTCCTCCGTCTGTCCGCCTCTGGCCTGACTTTTGGATATCCAACAGCTTACATCCTAACCTCACGCCCACTTGCAGAGCATCGTCATCCATCAAAGACGTATCTTTCTTCGTTGGGATTGAGGCCTGGAGAGATCCAACTCCTGTTCAGATCCCGCAGACGAGCCCTTCAAATTGGACTTTGGACCAACAAAAACCGATCCAATGTCATCAATATCGACGCGAACAGGAAGAAACATGCCATGAACAGCCTGACAGTCGATAATCAGAAGCAAATTCGGAACCTGCCAACGCATAGGAACACTCCGCACAGCCGAGGATAGAACGATGAAAGGCTCCAGATCAGGTCACACTTTCCGTTGGCTTTTTACGACACCCTGTCTGTCCCGCAAGCTCTGGGGTTTGTTCGCTATGCCGCAAAGTGCCTTGAGGTTGTCAATCTGCAATGGGCGACTAGGCTGGTAAGCACGCACGAGATGTGGTCCGAAAAAAATGTCCCGGCTCCCAACAAGTTCCCCAACGCTTTTCAATATGACGGCCCGTTCATTGGCGGAAGCAGGGCTTGCCCCTGCCATGTGGCCGCCGCTGGGGCGGGGCGGATGGGCGGCTGGAATCAACCATTCCCTATCAGGAAGTCAGCTCCACACTCTACCTCCAGATCCCACGACTCCAATGTGTCTCCAGGGCTGAAATCAAGACCTGCCATTCTCGAAGAAATCGCACCAGACATGTTCACACACTTTGCATCAACCATGTCGTCTCGATCATCATTCCCAGACTGAGGATCGCTTCTTATTCCGACGCTGTCCCCAGATCTAATGACGGTGGCAAAGTCTCGTACATCACTGTCGGCGCTCGGCTCCCAGGCGAGTTACGACGCAATCGAAAGATGTTTCGACCATCATCGAGCGCCGTGAGCCTTTGGGTCCTTGGACTTTCACGTTCCCTTTTTCTCCGTAGTTTCTGTCTCACCGTACTTGCGGCTGTAACTTTGTACCTGCAGCCGCCCATCACACTGCCGCTTGGGACATCTCATCAATAGCTCTTTACCGCCCTTCAGGCGACTACAGGCAACGGCCAGTTCTCGGACCAGCGGGCACTACTCACTTTTGAAGTCGTGAACATATGGAACTGGCGAAAGCCACTCACCAGTTGCAAGCTCTAAATTGGCTGGTTCTCATGCCAACGGGTCGATGAGCATATCTCCAACTATCTTTTCATCATTATCACTCCTCTATTGGATCATGCGCCGAAACTTACATGCCGAAACAGCAGAAAGGCTTGGAAGACAGAACCCTGGAGGGAGGAAAAAAAAAAAAAAGGGACTAATCAACAGTGGCGGCGGCTTGTGCAATCCACGTTCGCCCTCAACATGTTCCCCACCAGAGCTCCATTCAATGACGGAAGTCTCTCGTCGCCCCCGAGCTTTCCTGTGGTAAGGCTCCCCCATCGACAGGGGCTGGCCTTGTCTCTTTTCTGTTCCTTATCGCCGAGGCGACCACATCGTCCAACTCAAGATTACGCCAACTGCCTCTCACCCACTTTCCTTCACGGTCACTCTCTCGAACATTCTCGGTCAGCGGCGAGAGAACACCCGATGACACCCACGAGCCAGTTCGATTTCGGTGTGCCAAAAGCATCCTCGGCAACTCCAGGTCCCAGGTCCATAGTTTCGCGACACACCCAGTCCGGCCCTTGATTTCGCGTTCCCCGGCGATCTCGTTAAAGAGAAAGACGACATCCGCTCATCCCACTCCGGCATCCCGGCCCATCCCCAACAGAAACAGGACCCTGCCCCGCAATCCTCCGCCCCAGTGCTGCAGTGCTGCAGGACACAACAGGGATGAAAGTTGTCTTTGCCTCGCTATCGTCCCGAGGTTGTCTGCCCGTGGCTATCTGGCGAACCATCTTTTTGCCATGCGCATTCTCGATGCTCCCTTTACAGCGGTGGCAAGAGTCACGTGTTTTCTCACAATCATACGTACACTTGAACATTCAAGGTCGGCGATGGTCATTTGCAGTGTACGCACCACAATCGCAAAAGGGGACTCCAGGGCCTTGTCTTCCAAATCTTCAGCTAGTTGGGGCTGACCTATTCTGGAATGTTTCTATGCTAACCCGACCTGGCGGGGCGCACCCCCTCGCACTTGGCCAACGCCACACCCGATCCGCCCTGCCAATCCCCGTCACCACCAGAGCAAGAGAGATGCACTTCTGGCACTCCTTCACTTTCGTCCCATCCTTCTTTGCAGCCGCTGCTGCCCAGAGCTCTCTATCCGTACCTTAATATTCTTAGCCGCACCTGAGTTGTGTGAGGCGACTCAAGCTCCAAGCTCCCTTTTTGAGCTTGCTTGCTTGCCCAGCTTTGACGCCCTTGTCACCCACCTACCTTTATCGACACTTCAGGAAACTCGGGAAAAGGGGATCAGCATATCTACACACACCGCCCTGGTCTTTTCGAAATCCAGAACTCGCTACTTTTCTCAGACGTATATTAGTATCTAGGCAGTTTTTCCTTGAAAAGACTGCCAAAGCAGTGGCAAATCCACCGCAGAAGGCCTCTGGCTTCGTGGAGTACCTACACCCACGTACATGACTTACACTGACTCTGGATCTACACCGTAGTCAACGGCCACCACCTCTCGAACGGAAAGAAATCACCGGCCGCTCGCTTGTATATGGCTGATGGAAGGGCGATCCATCTTATCATCGGGTTTCTCACTTTGGACAAACCACTTACTTGAGCTGCAAAGTCGTTTACGCACACACGGCCTTATTTCTCGCCCAACTTTGGTATGCACAGCCAGAGCTCTGCTTTCGATCCCACGATTTTTCGATTTCACAATATCCCACAATGCAAGTCGGTTCACATTCCGAGTCTTGGTAAGGATCGAGGTTGACCAAAAGTCGTCTTCTATTTCACGTACAGTGTTTCCCGGACCTTTACACCAAGGCTATGCCGCAAAAAAATCAAACATTGTGACCACCAACTTGATTCGTATGCCGGCAGTACCATCATCAAGCAAAGGAAAAGAAGAAGTGGCGCCTCCCGATGCCTCGACAATCAACCTGCGCCTATGCAAAATCGCCTTCAGTTTCCCCCGCTGCTAGTCTTACATCATATCATCTCCGGGCATCTGTCGTCGTTGCTGTTGTCGCCGTTGCGAAGTCATCATCAAGGGATGTCTTCTCTCGCATCGTCTGCTCATCAGTGTTGATATGTGCCGCGCCAACCCCTTTGAGTTCTGGTGTATCTGCCCCTTGAGCTTCCGTGGGGTTGTCTGTCGTGGGTATTTGAGTAGTAGTAGGTGACTCCGCCGCTGCCGCCTCTTGCTTTGTAGACTTGAGCCCTGGTCCGGCCGTTTGAGCGGCATTGGTTTCGAACTCAATTTCGGCGACTTTCAGGTCGTCCACAGCTGGCCCCTTTTCTGTCGAGTCCGCTATCGTGACAACATGTTGCCCGTTTCTGTTCAGTTCTTCGGGTTCTGTTTCCCCCGTTTGTCCGGGCGCTGATTGCCCTACTGTTCCTTTTCCGTTTGGGGAACTCTCTTGCGTTCCTTCAGATTCTCTCACGTTCACCTCCTCTTCCTCTACATCTTTCCCCTCTGTTTCGATATCCTTGATCGTCATAGGACTGGCCATCGCAGGTCGTGTCTCAATGGGATCGACGGTAGCAGTTGCCTCTAGCTTGTGACTCCGCAACGTGTCGACTAAGCCTTCTCCAATGAGTCTCTTGCCATCTTGTCCTGGCGTATGGTCGAGTTCGGCCCGATCGAGGGCGGCGAGATCACTGGATAGGGGAGTCCACTGCAATGCTTCCAGCTTTTGTCGGACTGACTTGCTTGTCTCTTCCAATGGCTCGGGCGTAACGACGGAGTCCTTGCTTGTTGTCGGTGTTGCGCTCTTTTGATCGTAGACCTCGTCTGCCCCAATATCGCTGTACGATGGTGCAATATTTCTAGCTTCAGCCCAGCTGGAGACATTACGTCCCATGTTAGGCGAGTCGCAAGGCCCATAATGACTTGGCAGTGGGCTTGGGGGAGAGCGGCCTCTGGTGTAGTAGTACGGGTCCTGTGAGAAGCCCCTCGTCGGTTCGTCAACATAGGGTTGGCCCAAGTTTACATACGACCAGTCGTGAGCTGGCTGAACGGTCTTGACCCTGGCGTAGCCATGGTTGCCATCCACGAAGTATTCCTGCATGGTATAGCCGTCGTCTACCGAGATTGACGGGGGTGCCATGTCGTCTCCATCCGCGGGTTCTGGAAAGAGGGACATGAGAGACGAGGCTTGCAACCGAAGGCGCGGATCTTCGCTCAGGCAAATGTCTACAATTTGCCGATACCAATCTGGAACAACGTATTCGTCTCCGAGCTGTAACGGTCGTCCTTGGGCCTCGGGCTCATCATCCTGTGCTGCCAATGCCCACAAGACCATGCCCAGTTGATAAAGGTCGGATTTGACGCCAATGTACATGGAAATGCGCTGGTTACTTTCGATAAGAGGCGTTGCTTCAGGAGGCTCCCAGCCCACTGGGCAGCCCCTTCTGTTAATGTCAATAATTTTGGCATCATCGTCATCATCAATGACTATGTTTGAGAGAGTGAAATCGCCCTGCACAAAGCCAGATTCGTGAATATCCGCCAAGCCCTGTACAATTTGGCGTGCCCACTTCTCACGAATCGGCCAGGGCAGACCTAATTCTGAGTCCTGCTTGTTATCATAAATAACATCAGTAAGCGCACCATGAACGGCGTAGCTAATGAGCAGTCCCTTGACGTGCTCATCTTCATCATCAACCACGACACCATAGAACCGGATAATGTTCCTTGAATACCGGAGCCGGTTCAGGGCATTGATCTCGTAGAGGAACTCGTCTATGGTGTCGGGGCCTGGGATCTCTTTCTTGATGAGTACCTCTCCTCCTACAGACACCTTGTAGACAAAGCCGGACATGTGAGAGTCGAAGACAATGTCCTTTTCTCTGACCCTGCGACATCCCAAGTGCTGGACTTGGCGGAAGGTAGGGTACTGAATGATTTCCTGTTGGATATTAGCACTGACCGATTTCCCTCAGAGCACATCAACTCACATTGACATCTTCAACCACATGTACATGAAGGCGGCCTTCCGTGGTTTGGAGTTTCAGGTTGGTGACTGATGGGTAAAATTGTATGTCCTGCAGACTATCTCTGATGGCTTCGTAGATCTTGGAACTTTTGTCACGTTGAGACTTGGTGTGGAGCAAGTCCATCTCGAGAGAGTTATCCGGGGCATTGCGATAGTCAAGAGATATGGTTACTCTACGCCAGTGGGTTGGAGTTTCTCGGTATGTGACGAAAAACTTCTCTCTCTTGGACTTATCCCGGAAGTGCATGCTGAGGTTGAGAATCCAAACATTTTCGAGCTCATCGTGAATCATAGCCTCGTAGTGAGATTGAGATGTCGTTACTGAGTGGGCGTCCGAATTAGATTGAACCTCGTGCGCATGAGATTCGTCTGTCGTGGGTTCTGCTGCAATTTGGGATACCATCTGACCAAGACTGACTTCGGCCTTTTCCTCGACAGGGCTGACGGGGGCAGATGGGGCAGACTGGACCTCGTACGCATTTTCGAAAAAGTCCGGTGCGCTAGCTCGGGGAAAGGACTGAGTCTGTGACGTCGTACGTGACGATTGCACGCGCCTGTCCACTGATAGAGCACGCCTCTCTGCCGGAGAGGGTTCAACTGGTGCGAGGTTGTTCCTGCGCTCCGACTGTTGGCGTTTGAAGGTCTGCACGCGAGGAAGTCCGGGCACGACTTTTCTCGAGACTCGACGCACCAGACCAGTACTTTGCTGGTCATCGGAGTCGGGGTCAACCTCGGGTTCGGGCTCGGGCTCCTTGGTTTGGAGCGGGCCGACGGATGCCGGGGCCGCATTGTTTCGTCCGAAGAGTTTACGAAGAAAGCTGGTGGACTGATGACCCGATGAAGGCGGCGGTTCCGCAGAAGACATGTTTGGCTGCGCCATGATAAGTTGAGGGAGATGTACAGCTTGCCAACGCGATTGGACTTTGGAGGTCGTCAAGGTGAGCCGATCAGGACGCTGACGGTGTGAGGTGAGGCTCTAAGCGGTGTGGTTCTGGGGACGAGGTGTTAATTATGGATAGTCCCGCAAACCTGGTCCGGGAGCGAACCAGGCGGGTGACAAGGATGAGCCTTGAAGCGAAAGACGGTCAACCTCAAGCCTGGTTTTGACCGGGCTTGGTGCCAGGTCGGAGCTAAATTGGGCTGGCAGCGGCTGGGATGTGTCTGGGCGCGGGGAACGCGAGACAAGAATGACGGCGGGCGTCTTTTGTGGACGTTGAAAATGCAGTTCGAGCGTGACGGAGTAGATGCAGGCAACCGTAGGCAAGATGGGACATCAGACGCTGTGACGAGATAGGATGGAAACGTGCAGAGAAGCAAGGGCGAAGATGACCATGTTCAGACGAGAATGACGGTGGCGGGGGCCGAGGGATTGACCGATACTCGACGGGCTTTTGGAAGAATCTCAAACCCCCAAGTCAAGAGGCTGTCGATAATTACTTGGTGTGCGTGTGTCCGTAGGCAGAAGCTAGATGCGGCGCACGTGTTTCTTTCGTCCGGGGCTGTTCGAAAGAGAGTTTTTGGCGAGTCCGAAGCACAGAATAAGCTCGGATGGGCTTACTTTGGATGGCAGCTGTACAGATGAGGGCGGCAATACGTCGTCTCACGTCCGCACGTCTGCATGTGCTTTGCTTCGTCTTATTTCCTCAGCGATGAAGGTGATGACTTTGGCGAGCGATGTGATTCGTGTAGGCCAAGGCGGGGTGGCAGCGTAGCCTGCGGGAGGAGAGCGGCGTTTGATCGCTCTGCGGCTGGGCTGATAAAGGATGTACAAATAGGCAAGTAGCGTCAGAAAGGGTAGGATGACGGAGGACGACGTAGGCGTAGGGACAGATAGGCGAACGGGAGAAATATGTATTGATTGACGAGGGTGTTGGATGGGTGGACGTATGCCGTCGAAGTCGGGGTGTGGATATGTATGGCTGGGTTCGCGTTGACCGGACGTGCGTCGTGAGCTGCTGGGCGGCGGCAGTGTTGGTGGTGGTGGTGGTGGTGGTGGTGGTGGTTGGCGAGCACGTAGGCTTGGTGAGATGAGGCGAACGTTGGACTTTGGATGATTTGTATGGAAATCGGGCGGCAAGAAGATGACCGGGGGCTTCCGAGAAGAGGAAGAGGGGGAGGGGCACCGTTGACGGTTGCCGTGGACACAATGAAGGTCGTGGGGTCGTTCAGCGGTTGCGTCTTTTGCGGTTTTCCTTTTTCTCTCTCTCTCTTTTACGGGATGGTACTGTGCAAGGTACGAAGTCGAATCTGCAAAGAGGAGCTGTAATGTACCATATCCAGAGTAGTGCAAGCGCATGCAGGAGAAGCGCGTGAAAGTGAGCAGGGCCGCTGCGAGGGCAATATTGGGTCCCCACCAGGTCGTGTTTCTGGTTTGCTGCGACTTTAACGAGAGGCTGGGAGGCTGGGCACCGGGTGAGGCCTCGTCAAGCTCCCGTGCCAATAGAAATACCGGGTGAAGGAGCGGGAGTTCTAGTGGCGCTCTTTAGATACCATCAAGTACGTACCCGAAAGTATGTACGTACGGTACGAATAAGGTATGTGCCCCTTGAAGGAACGAGGTCACTAGGAGGGCACATTGAGAGAAGGGAATTCATGGGGAGAAGAAAAAGACGTGGCCAGTGACAGTGAAGACTCTAAAATGTCAATGGCTGACGGGAAAGTGCCTATGAGCGGACGCTAAGGCGCTTGATATTGTAACTGAGTGACAACCCACCAACAATGCACGCTCGTAAGATGTTTCGTACCTCACTTTCCCAGTTACCTTACCTCAAGGCGGTACCCCCTCTCAACTTCAAAGAAGAGCATTACGAATCGAACAGTGGATGCTTACTACCGTTATTCTTGCCCCTTTTTCTTGTCTGAGATATGATAGTTGGGTCTTTCCTCAAAGTTTCTAGAACGTGATGCTTAGATGGAAGGAAAGATACGTCTGGTGATTTACCTTGAGGAAGGACAGGTAGGTAGGTACCTTAGTTGGTAAGTACCTTCCCAGACTTGAGATGGACGGTTGCGCTACTAAGGCGGGAGGGTACGCCCGGCGGGGAAGCTTGGCCATTTCTGGAAGAGGCGGGTGGGACTTTCCCTACTCTGATGCGCTGGCTGTCCCGATATTTCCACTTGGGCGTTAAACGCCGTTGATTTGGAGCTGACGAGACTTACTTCAGGGGCTTAGAAGTTAAGGGGGGCTTTCTCTGCCGTTGGAAAACGTGCCGGTTCAATATGGATCTCCATGCCTTCCAAGTGGTGTTGGTTCAGGTGCGTCGTGAACCTTCCATAGTCCCCGGCCTCTCACCAAGGCAGGGAGCACAACATTTTGCTGTCCATCCTTCTTCCATCATCGTCACTTCATCCCTTTCTTCTGTACATACCTCACCCCAAAATCATCTCATCCACAGCCAGCGTCAAGGCGAGCTGAGACCGGGACCGCGGGACCCAGAACGACAACTCAGCTGCAGCCCGAGGCCGCCCTCCTTCACGAACTCTTCCCCATGCTGCTCCTCTTAGCGCATCTCGTTTCATGTACGATGACCTCCGAATCCAGCCCTCCTCTGGCGATTGGGTCCCGACTTGTTATTCTGTGGGCGTTGGGTTCGTTGGGCTCGCATCAAGCCCTTTCATTCAAACCTGCAAACATCCACATCGTCACTAGGGACTGCAGTTTTCCAGATCCCTCAATCAATTGGCCTCACATTCAATCATCCGTCCATTGACCGCCCTTTGCTTTCCATGTTCGACCCACAACTTGATATAGGGGAATACTGTGGCATTCATGGGTACGGCCACTGTCACCAGACCAAGATCAGATACGCCCAGCACTTTCGATAGGATCGCTGCCGCTAAGGCCAGGGCCAAGGAGGGCATGTCATAATGGACCCCCGAGATGCTTCCTTACCTTGGTAAATTGATGAGTCAATCGCTCAAGGACTGTCTATCTTGCTACAGATCTGATCAGGGGGGTCTGGCCGATTTCGCTTCTCTGCACCCGTCGCTTCAGGCTAACAACCTGGTGATTACCAGACTCAAGTCTCGGCCGTGCAAGGCAAAGATTGCTCAACTCCAAGACGGCAACAGGCCGGATCCGAAAACTATTACCAGATCTAGGCTTCTATACGCTGCATCTGTTGAGAGTCAATGGGTCACACAGAGCTTGTTTGACCCGCTATGACCAAGGGACGTCAGCTCAATGTGAAGCTCTTCGCCTACCGACCTGCGCCAAAGATTTCATCATTGCGCAATCTCGCAATTGATGCATCTTCTCCGTTTTACTGCGTCGAACTGCGTCGTCGGACCATACCCCTCGAAGCATTGAGAAATAAGGACGACTTACCCACGTGCTCGTCTCTCCTCTGCGTCAAAGCCGTCCGCTGCACGACGCAGCATGTTCATTCGTAGTCTGGAGGCCAGCACATTACCATTCAACGATGCTGGACATGCTTTCAACCTCCACTGCCTGACACTACCTCTACTACTTGCAATGTGGCACGACATGAAGTGAGACTACCACAGACGATGGAACCGCAGCATAGCAATGCGACGCATGCAAAGATGGACGAACGAGCGGACTGTCCCGGCGTCATTCAGCATGACCCTGTAGAAGTCGGTTGCAGGACCACCATCTCATCAAGAATTAAACCTGAGGAAGACAAATCAACTACGGCGGCCTATCTCGGGACCGTTGATGCGTCTGAAGGGAGCTTACGGAGACCATAACAATAAAAGTGTCGGATGGCCTAGGGTATCTGCACTGTCTGTTGGCTAACATCAGCGGCCAGGTCAGGGGTGCGTCTTTCGCACGCTACGTGCATTTAGGCATCGACGCAGCCCAAAAGATGAGGCTGTCTTGTTGTTGACAGGCTGGCAAAGTGTTCTACGGGATGGCTTGTATCTCTTGTCAAGCGCACGCTGACATCAAGGTGTTCAACTTTACAGACGCATGCTTGCGATATGCTCTCTTTGGGTAACTACCCAGGAGCTCCTAGAAGCCCGGACGCTGACGCTCTGGTCGTTGCAACCTCGCCCGCCATCCTGTTCGCTACTCCAAGCGCCAGGAGCAGGCATAGCCATGCCTCGTCAAGCGCCGCATCTCAACCGACCTGGAGATCTCCCGTGTCCGGTGCACTGAGAAGCCGGCTTTAGAGATGAATGATCGATGATCGGTGGCGAGAAGAAAGGGCAGAACGCAATACAAGGGTCGTGTTGTTTGCCCTTTTGACACTCACACATCCCAGCCAGTCTGGATGTCTTCCCGCGAACCCCACCGATCCCGCGTGGACGGATGGGCGTGGCACACCGGGTCAGACCCAGAAGAACCCACCCCACCTCGCTGTCAAATCGAACTGCTAAAAGGGAGCTAGAAGCGTTGTCACCAATCTGGACGGCATTCGATGTCGACGTCGTCGGAGCCTCTAGCTGCTACAGATTGGGCCACAATCAGGCACACAGAACATGTCACCATGACTCGGTTCTATATCGTACTGTAACCTTCATCATATATCACAAACGCGAAGACTTGTGTCCTGCACTCCGGCAGCACGGAGACGTACGCTCCACCGTTCGATACCCCCGAGGCTACAACGGCCTATCGCGATTGGCAACCGAAATGCGCGGCACCGCCGTCTCACCAGCACCATCGCTGCGGCCGTTGACGTACATACTACATACACGGTGGCCAGGTCGGCCGCATCTGCAAGCGACAGCGTTTCCGGTAAGCTGGTCCTCTCCTCCCTTGGCTACCGCTCCACACGTTTGCTGCTCGCCTCGAACGGCATCAGCGGGAGGTCACCACACCCCCCGCTCATCGGAAAACCAATCGAAGGGGCAATGCTGGCACTAACGAACTGTAACTCATGCCGCAACGTACCCTTTGGGGAGGAAACAAGCTTCGTTATGTGGCTGTTCGCCGAGTGCCTTGCGACGGACGGCTCACAACAGGTATTGGTAATATACAAGAATTCGCTTACTCTGGCCTGTCCCGAAAGCTAGCTACCGTACCCTATGCAAGCATCGCGCGCCCTGCTATTCCTTCACACAGCCGCCACTACCTATGCGCGAGACTGACTGCTGTGCAATCTAACCATCCTATGCAATTGGGTGTCGCTGCAACCCTAGTCTTACAAAGCCGAGTCCGGTTGTTTCTTCAGACAACACCGCCTGAAAACGGCAACCAGCCAAACAATTAAAATAGAAAAAAGAACCATCTAGAGTAGAGATGCAGCATCGAGAGGAGGGAGTTGTGTGTGTTTGTGTGTGTGGTTGTTGATGATGTTGATTTGCCGTGACATTTTTATGCGAGTTCGTCTAATCGTCCGGCTTTGGCTTTTCCTTTCTCAATAGACAGTCCACCCGGTCTGTCATCCGCCCTCGTCTGCCGATTGGCAATCTTTACCTTGCCAGAATCCTTCTTTTCAACGCGTCTGTAGCCCCCACAGGGCGTTGAGGATTTGGGGATTGAGGCGCGGGTTAGGACGGATCATCCCAGTTGGGAAGGGGGGAACTGGATGTGTCAATGGATTTGGAAACCATCTATCGCTGGTGAACAATGTCGTGAAATCTGTTTGTAGATTTTTCTTTCTTTGCTCTTCACCCCCTCAGGGAGGAGGGGGCAGTGGTTGGTGGTGGTGGTGATGCATCTAGTCGTCTTCCTCGTCGTCAGAGTCGTCCCTCTTCTTCTTCTTCTTGTCCTTCTTCTTCTTGTCGTCCTGGTCCTTTTTCCACTCGCACGTCTTGCACTTGTTGGCGGCCTCGCGGTCGAGCTCCGGGAAGATGAGGTCAAAGACGTCAGAGTACCATGCCACGGGCTTGCCCTCGATGCCCTCCTTGATGTTCTGTAGTGATGTGTCAGCATTGATCTTGTACAGTCCAATTGTACGTGGTAGTAGTTGTTGTGATAGGACGTACCTCTGGGAGCTCGAGCCAGTCGGACATGCAGTCCTTGGGGAAGATGATCATCTTGCAGCCGGCGCGGCGCGCGGCGACCGTCTTCTCGCGCAGCCCGCCGATGCGGAGGACCTTGCCGGTAAGCGTGAGCTCACCCGTCATGGCGACGGTGGGGTTGACGGGGGTATCGAGGGCGAGGGAGAGGAGCGAGGTGGCCATGGTGATACCGGCCGAGGGGCCATCCTTGGAGACGGCACCGTCGGGGACGTGCAGGTGCAGCCTGGCCTTGTCGAAGAAGTGGTTGTCAGGGAAGTCCCTGACCATGAGGGACTTTGCAAATGAGTAGGCAATCGTCGTCGATTCCTTCATGACGTTCTTGAGGTTACCCGTGATCTCGAGCCCGGGGCGGCTGCTCGGTCGCAGGGGCGCCTGGAGGATGGACTCGATGTACATGGCGGCGCCGCCCATTTGGGTCCACGCGAGACCCATGGCCACGCCGGCGGGGTTGACCTCGTAGAGGCGGTCCGAGGTGAAGACGGGAGGGCCGACGTAGTCGACGAGGTTCTCCTTGCCAATGGTAACGTGCACCGTGTCGGGGACGTTGAG